CGTGAATATCAAACCTGGCGGTTGTGGTCTACTTAATCTGATCACGGTGATCATCTTCTGCATCTTCAAATTTACGCTGTTTTGTTATTTTCATATTCTAAACAAACTACGAATGTTGAAGAGGTGGGTGGAAAATTAGTCGTGCTAGCAGAGAAGCATGATTACACATCTCCTAATGATGTAGAGCCTTCATTTCTGTTGTCTAAAATACCCCCCAAGCCTTTTGCATGAAACACTATTTTTCTTGCTGGACTAATTAGCTTCCATGCCTGAACTGCTAAGTTTCATATCTCATATATGTGAACTTGACTGGGAGTTCAATCTAAGCTCCATATTTGTTGAAGTTGACATGCCACTGGTAAGCACTATTAGCAATGAATTCATATTCCAGTTACCTGTAAGAATTGAAACTTACATGTCCGTCAATTTTCAATTGTGCAGGGACGCTGTGGCACCAGGAGCAGCGCTTTTTCTTCCTCTAATTGCAACAACATTTGAGACTTTGTTTCTTCATCTAGCTTCAGTCCTGCTATATCGACCTCCTTGCATGCCCTCGTACTCTTTTTTTTCAGCCTCGCAAAAACCATATCGACCTCCTTACTGCCACGCCACAAGCTGCAAGTTTTGTAAATAAAGATGTATGTTTCAAGAGCGATTTCTTGGTCATGTGATGCTCCATTTTTACTCTCTCTCCGTGAATTGCTCGTGGTCATGCTGGACAATTCCGATGGGCAGGTTTTGAGAGAGATTTCTTTGAGGGAGTTCATCGCCTACCGCCATTGTAGCTCCACATAAGTTGTTCAGCAGAGCTTGGAGACTTTTATGCTTTCAGTCTCTATTGTTTCAGTTTCGCCATTACAGCGCATAGGAGATTCGGATCTGCGGTGGGTTTGGATTTACGATTCGAAGGATTTGGAATCGAGTTTTTGAGGAATCTGGAGGTGGCGGTTCGGCCAAGTGAGGACGGTCAGCTGAGAGACCGTTTGCTAGGAACAGGGTTTGAAGTAATCCACCTGAATCTTGGAATGTAAATGCTTCGGCGCCGGAAACCAGAACCAGTGAGATGAAAATTATGGCAAAGCACATGCACACACTTCTTTTGGAGGCCATATTCTCAAAGAATCCAGATTTCTGAAGACGAAACCACATCGGAGTTGTGAATTGAAATGCAGAAAAGCTATGGTTTGTAGATGACAAGATGTACGTGTGGATGAAGCAACGGGCACAGAGAGAGAGCAGAGAGGGTTTGGAATGCGTGCTGTGGAGGTTGCGGAGAGTAAGAGAGAGAGAGATATATGGGACTGGTTTCTTGGGTTTTTCCGGGAAAGCTTTGGGTTGTTGGGTTTTTGCAGATTTTGCAGATTTATGGTGGAGGTGAAAAAATGAAAGAGAACTGACATAGTTTTTTTTGTATCGATTCCCACAGACGGCGCCAAATGTTGATGCACAAAACCGAAGGGGTCTTGGAACAACGTAAATCCGACCGTGAATCTGCAAGAAATGTAAAGAACACAAGATGTATCGTGGTTTACCCCAAGGTTTGGGCTACGTCCACACTGATATTGTATTTCTCTGTAAGAGTTTGATAGTGAGGGTGAGAGCATGAGAGAGTTTAGAGCTTAGGGGATGTGAGAAGGCTTCCCTTATTGTAAGGGTGAAGGGTCCTTTTATAGAATAAGGGCTACTCACTTATTACATATTTGTCCATTCCTTTATTACATAATTACATTTAAGTCCCCCGAGTATTTATATGAGATCTAAATACAGAGGCCCTAAGTATGGTATAAACAGAAGTAACATTCGCTCGACCCCACACATTAGAATGTATCAAATCAAATGGCAAAGTAGCTTTAGAATCACTTATGGGAAAGGAAGCACGATGACTCTTAGTCATGACACATGTTTCACACTTGAACTCTAAATCACTACAAGTGCAAAACAAAGAAGGAAACAATGCTTCATATTAGAGGTGGGCAAACGGGTATGTATAGAAAAATAGGTACCCGGACCGGCTCGTTTGCAAAAATACCCCCGTGTTGGGTATTGTTTCCCAGGCTCACTTTCTTTTGTTCCTCCCTGTGACAGTTCTGAGTCTCATTCTCGAAAACACTCCACACACACACACACACACCCTACTTCCCCGTGTTTCCCCATCCCCCAATCTCTCGAACCTTCTCCCTCATTCATATTCTTTGTTTCTTCTCACCCCATCTCTGCAACTTTCCTTCCCCGGAGCACAGACACACCACACACACACCCATACCCACATCCCACCGAGAAATGATATGTTGTCGCCGCCCTCCTCCCCCACTAACTCATCCGTCTCCTCATCCGATCTCAACACTGAGGTAACTCATTTCGCTCATATCTTCCAATTTCGTCAATTTCTTAATTTTGATTTACAAAATTTGTGAAAAGTTGTGAAATTTTCAATTGCAGGTTTGGCTTCTGGCACTCATTGTTCGGGATAAAGATGGTCTTGGTTGGCAGGTACATGTGCTCGAATGACAGGTTGGGGTTTAACCAGATCTCTCCGTTTGAGTCGTCCATCTGACCCAAAAAATGTGGCTTCTATAATTTTGGGTAGAGGTGCCAGAACTCGTCTTTGTAATTATTGTTGGAAAAGCAGAAGCAGTTGACGGGGATGATGACCGGAATGCCAGTGGGGATGGGGTCGACATTGGACACGTTGTTGGCGGACGTGATCTAGGTGAGGATGGAGTTGAAGAGGTAGGCGATGGAGGAGGGAGGAAACGGAAGGTGAGGTATGAGAGGCATGAGGAAGCGACGCCATTGCAGACATAGCCGTCGGTGGTGTTGTAGTGGTTGTAGCAGTCAAGATGGGGTGGACATTGGACATGTTGTTGGAGGAGGCGATCTGGGTGGGGAGGGAGTTGAGGAGGTAAACGATAGAGGAGGGAGAGTTATAGAAAGAATGGAGGGATCGGAACGTGAGGACCCGGAGAAACCGGCCCATTTCAAAAGGGCCGGGTTAGGTCCGGATCTTATTTTGAAAAATCCAAAACCCGCCTCACCCCGTGTTATTTACAAATGGGTCGGTTTGGTTCCTTCAATTTTGGGCCTAGCTCGGCCCGTGCCCACCCCTACTTCATATAACTGAATGATGGATGCCCCAAACGTCAATGCCATAACCAAATTTGATGTCTGTCATTCACTTTAGCACTTAGAACTTGATGATTATTTGAACCTGAAACAACAGCATCATTCATAGTCAAGATGTGCAAACCCCCAATTCGTTTAACACGACCAATTATCTTTTGAGTTTAGATGTCTTAAAAATAACAATATGTGGGTAGAAGTGAGCGGAACAATATAAGATATCAAGTAGTTTTCATACCGACAAAAGATTGTACTTAACATCAGGAATAAGTAAAGCATGGACTAGTGACAAGGTCGAAGTAAGAGAGATAGTGCCTTCACCTTTCACAGAGGAAGGTGCTTTATTTGAACTAGTAATATACGGATCACGAATATAGTCACGTAACTCATCAAACACTTTGGGGTCACCAGTCACATAATTAATGACCCCAGTATCAATTATCCATATATTTATTCCACCAAGATGCATAACAACACTACAATTATATTGAGTCATTTAGCTAAACCACGAATAATAAAGGCACAAAAGGTACGCAGCAGAATTAAGACAATTTACCAGAATCACTGTCGATGCCCGTAGCAGATCACTGTTCACACATAGTAGCAAGCTACTATTCATGACACTCTTCATTTTTTAAATTATTTTTTTTATAAAATTTTTATTTTGAAAGAGGAAATCACGACAAAAGTGGCACAAACGGAAATCACCAATATATTATACCAATTACAAAAATGTTAAGTGTATGACCCCTTACAAGATACTATCGATCAACAGTTAAGCCCGATCTCTAATTCATTACCTCACCCGTAGACAACAAAAAAAGAAATTTAAAAATAAAAAGCAAGAGAAAGAAACTCAATTCATACTGATAAATTTCAAGTAGACGGGCTGAGGGCCACTCCAACAACACCGATACTGTCCCCACTTGGTCACCTGCTCAATCCGTCAGGTGTAGGGTTTTAATCCAAAAAGCTATTATTTAGAGTGGGGTAATTCTATTTAAATGGCTTGTTCTCAAGTTTTGTGGCCGATGTGGGACAGATGAATTCTAACACATACCTCCAACACAGGTAAAAGAATTCTTTTAATCTTTTCGGTAAATTAACTCATACATGATATTGAATCTTCACCTCTGAAAATTAATACCTTAAAAAAGCAGGTATATGTTACCAGTTAATAGTTTTTGACATTAACAATATGGTAACACGCACGATGGTGCTCATGGAGAAATTGAAATGTTTATGAAGGTTTTCTCCACTTATGAAAGGATATATTGCTGTGACGAAACCACCATCTGATCTATTTTTTAAAGGAAAAAAAAGTTTAATAGGAAGATATACAATATTTACTTGTCCGAAAAAAAAAAAAGATATACAATTTTTGAAATTTTACTAACATACACTACCAAAATTGGGCTAAAATAACTTTTTTTTAGCTAATTATGGGTATGAAATTGGAAAAATATATGTGGTTTCAAGCCATTCGGGTAATCATAGTGCCTCTGGCCAATCCCAATTCGACAACGTTTTTGACGAAACCACTCTGGTTTCCAATCCCACCTAATCTCATCTTATAGCGGTTTTAAAATATCCTATAAATATATCATATAAATACAAGAACGAATCTGTCCTCGTATATTGACAGAGAAAGAGAGACACCAAACCACCTACTTGCTATCTATTAACCTATTTTATATAAGGAAAACTAATAAAAATGACTTAAAATTTTTGAATTTTAACGATAATTACAAAATAAAGGGTAATGTGAATAGTTTCAGTATTAACTTTTTAGTGTAAAAATGTAATTTTTTGTTAAAATAAACAGTACTAGAAACTTTACATTAAAGTTTCATTTTATATATACAAAGAAAAGAAAGAAAGAGGGGGGAGAGAGAGAGAGAGAGAGAGAGAGAGAGCAGAAGCCGGTTCTTTCTCTCCCATTTTCATGGTTTCTTGGTGGCCTTTCTGGTTTCTCTAAATTAAGAGATCAGTTCACCGGGAAGGACCTTATATATAACTAGGACATTATTAGTTATTAATATATATATATATAATAATAAATAATTGTACAAGAGATTATGGGGAGGGGAAGGGTGCAGCTGAAGAGGATTGAGAACAAGATCAACAGGCAGGTGACCTTCTCAAAGAGAACGTCAGGGCTGCTGAAGAAAGCTCATGAGATTTCTGTACTTTGTGATGCTGAGGTTGCTTTGATTGTCTTCTCTACCAAAGGCAAGCTTTTTGAGTACTCCACTGATTCCTGGTATATATGTACCCTCTCAACTACCCTTTCTTTCAGCTACTATGTATTTTTTTCCCAAAGAAACCTCGGCGGTACGATTGAAGTTCATTGTTCTTCTCGATTATCTTTTTTACTCTGGTTTTTTAGGGCGTGCTATATGCTTCAGTTAAATTATTTGGCAATTTTTCTACCCGTACGTTACATTTTTTTTCACATGCGGTGCTTTTAATATGGGATACCCTTCTTCTGGTTTATGCTGTTGAATTTTCTTGCTTCACAATTGTGTTTCCCTTAAATTGATTCTTAAAAAATATATCAATTTTCTTGAGTTTCTTTTGTGGGGATTTTCTCTCTCTTTGATTTCATGCAAAGACCAGCTGTTCGTTGAGGGACCAGTGTACCACTGGAAAGGGGGAGAGACAGACTGGGTATAGTGCTGGTGTGTGCGTGAGAGAGAGGGAGATGGAGAGGGAGAGAGAATATATAATCCTCCGTATCTATGTGAAGGTAGGATAAACCTGTTCATCCATATAAAACAAAAACGGAAATAAGATTACTTTTCGTGATGATAACATGTGGTGTCTTTTCGCTGATCTTCTTGGGGAGAAAGTGGCTAGCTAGACAGGTTACTGTAAAACAGACTGAGTGAAGAGATTATTTAAACCCAAATTAATTTGGTTTGGATCCCTAATTCAATTATTCAAAGGATCTCCCAACCAGTCATTTTAATTAACAATAAAATACGACGGACTTCCGCTTTGTTGGACTTTTGAAACGTAGCTAGACCAGCTGGAGTATCCTATCTTTTCTTTCTTGTTTTAACACACACACACACACACACATATATATATATAGGTTTGTATGTGTGTTTGTGTTATATAGGCATTTATCTGTGTTCAGATTTACATATAAATAGTAATGAATTAATTGTTGTCTGTGAGTAGAGTTTAGATTACACTCTCGCGCAAGGGTTTGCGTGTTATATATATATTTGTTTTGTGAGTGGCATTATTTTCTTAACCACTTGTTTCTACCTTAGCTAGAGGATATCCTATAAGCAAATATAGTGCATCAAATCAGCATGACGCAGCTTATGTAAGACCCCATACTTAAAATTATTTCAAAAAGCTATACCATAAGAAGTCCATTACACCATCGATAATATCGTGTTACCTGTTTCCTTCTAAAATTCATTTGTCAGCATTTGCATGCTTGTTATTTAACATAAGAAACACGAGATTTTTATTAGTTTCATAGTTTTTATATGCATAAGGTCTGTCTTAAATACTATGACTACTTACTGGTAGATAATTCGTTTCGTTTTTCATATTAACAGCATGGAAAGGATCCTGGAAAGGTACGAAAGATACTCACATGCAGAGAGGCAGCTTCTTGCAAATGATAATGAATCCACTGTATATGCCGCCACACCCTCCTCTATCGTTTATTGAAAGGCAAACAAAATTTTAGAAGATTTTTTATTTTTTTTCTAAAATCTTCTTTTCATGTTTCAAGCTATACAAAGCTAACTTGAGTTCTGACCAAACGTGGCTTCCGGCCTGGCTTTCCGTTTTATCTGAAAGCCAAAAGGAACACCATGAATTTGGCATCCATTAGTGTTAGTTTCCTGTAGAGGAATCAGTTTCCTAGCTTAGGGGCTGCATGATAATCATTTTGTTTGTAGCTTTTCACCTTTTCTTGATATGGAGAGAAGGAATGTAATGGAGGAATGTGTAATGAAAGGACGGTGGAGGGAAGGAGAAGGGGGAAATGAAGGAGAATGCAGGAAAGAAAAACTAGAAACGGAAACCTACTAAAAATTGGTTTTTAAGTTTTTAGTTTCCATTTTGTCTACTCTTCCATCTACATTTGTTTCACTCCTTCCCTTCCTCCACCTTTGCGCATCCCTCTTTTCTCCCTTGTATCCCCCCCCCCCCCCAAACCCCTCTATTCCTAACAAAAGTGAAAATTAAAACTGAAAAGAAATAGTTATCAAACGTGTCCTTAGCTAGCTTACTTTTCTCGTGTTTTTTTATTTGAAACAGATCATTCATGCCATATATTTATTCTTGTTTTATAGGGGAACTGGACTCTGGAACATGCAAAGCTCAAGGCTAGGGTGGAGGTTTTACAAAGAAATCAAAGGTATACCAAGTTCAAGTATAAGTATCCCTCTTTAATTCCGTTATAATTGATAATATAAAGGTCAAGTAATCAGTACTGAGCATACTACTTTTCACTGATCTTGGTTGGTTTGCAGTCATTATATGGGAGAAGATCTCCAAATCTTAAGTTTCCAAGAGCTTCAGAATTTAGAGCAACAGCTTGATTCTGCACTAAGGCGCATAAGGTCAAGAAAGGTAAAACCAATGATGAACAAATTAACCCTCAGAAAGTTTTTTGGTACATAGACTAAATTAATATTGGGTTTTTACTTTTATTTTAAAGCTTTTTCATTTTTATTTTTCCGAAAAAGGATAACTGATTGGAATATGATGAATTTTTCATCCATACAGAACCAAGTCATGTACGAATCGATTTCTGAGCTCCAGAAGAAGGTAAGCCTGAGCTAGAAGGCATTTTATATAGAGAATGAGAACAACACATCCTTTCCCTAGTGCTACACATTCTTGTTTGCTGTTTTCGTTTGATTTATTCGATGACCAAAACCAAACTGGAGTGTGTAAGAGGAGAAGAATAGTGTGCAATTTTCATTTCATTTTATATATGCACGCAAATACTTGCATATATAAATCCATACTTCTGTAACAGTAATGGTAGATCATTGTCTGTGTGTGTCTTGCATGACAGGATAAGGCATTGCAGGAGCAAAACAACTTGCTGGCAAAGAATGTACGTAACAATATGTATGTAGTGTGTTTAAAAATATTTAATTTCGTAATTCTCATCGTACTGTATATTGTGTATTTAATTGAACTAGGTAAAGGAGAAGGAGAAAGCAGTAACTTCACAGGCACAATTGGAGCATGCGCAGAAGCAGAGCTTGGACTCCTCCTCCACCCTTCTACCACAGGAATTGCAGTACTTGAATTTCAGGTTAGCCTTTCCCTGTGTTTAGTTTGGTTTATTTTTTATTTTTAAATAGAGATGGAGAGAAAATATATGGGAAAAACGAGGAATGAAGGATGATTGGAAGGTGGTGGGAGGGAGGAGAAAAAAATGAAGATTATATGAAAACAAAAATGTCAAGACCCGTCTGATAACCACTTGGTTTTAGCTTTTAGTTTTGTATTTGTTAGATATGAGGAAAGTATGGTTGAAAGGAGGAGGGGTGAGGAAGAGAGAATGTATAAGGAATGGTACACAAAATGAACACTAAAAATATAAAAAAACTATTTCAAGTTGTTTTCACTTTCAAGACAATCTTCTTTATTTTGTTTCTCTCGCTAGCTCTCAATCACCACCCTTCTTCTTCCCTCATTTCTTCTATACTTTCTCCGTATCTCAAACATAAAAACTTAAAACTTAAAACCAAAAACCAAATGGTTATCAAATAGATTCTCAAATTTTTATTTTTACTTTCCACTGTGTATGTCATTCCTTTCACATTTCTTCCACGGTCCAACCTCCACTCTTGATTTTCATTGTTTGTTTCTCTCACTATTTTCTCCATCTGTAACAAAATTAAAGACAAAATAGTTATAATACAAGTTAAATTAATTGGTTTATGAACGTGTATATATATATATATATATACACACACACATATTATTTTGCTGCAGCAGGTCCAATTACCACCAGGCTATTAGATCAAGTAATGGAATATCAGGAGATAATCAGCAGGATGGAGATGAAACCGCGACTCCACATAGACCTAACACGCTGCTGCCTCCTTGGATGCTCCGCCACCTTAATGAATAGAAGCATTTCATCACCATGAAATAATATATCCAAATAATATTAAAACACCAATTAATCAAGCAAACATACTACACTTATATATGTATACCTAGAAATTAATTGGTATGTGCCTGATCAAAACCCTAGCCTCGATCTAGCTCCAGATGTGTATCGTATATTGGAATTCAATTACTAGAATTAATAGCCCAAAAACTGTGTTAGGGGTTGTCTACCTCTTGTAATTAATGTACTATTTTCAAATTAACTTAGGAAACGTGCATGTGCGCACTTTGTCCAATATGGATTTGCTACTTAATTTTTCTGTTCCTTCTGGTTTCTGGTTGCTCGTGTGATTGAGGTGAATCTTGCAATATCAATGTTTATAGTATTAACGTCGTAGATGTGGGTTATATCAATTAGTCATATATATTACCGTATTAGAGCAGTTAAGTATAGATCTAGTAACTCTATAAACTCTATGCATAGATTACATCAATCTTGAAGTTCTAGTGCCACAAGTTGAACCTGTGAGTGTAGATTAGCTATGAGCTAGGTAGCTAAATGTTTAAAAGTACTAAAAACCAAACCCACATTTTAAAAACAAAATGTAAATATATAACATTCTAGAGTAGTTGGTCCTTATCATTTTAGTGGTACATTAAATGCAATGTATGCGTTCCTACGTTATCAGTTCTCAATAGGACATAGCAACTTTCTTAGTACACATACACTACTACCGTGATCTTCTATGAGGTGAAATCCTTCGCTCTAGAGTACAGAGAAGAAGTGTGTGTGTGTGTGTGTGTGTGTGTATCAGGAGGCCAAGTGCAACTGTAGAGCTATATATTTCAACCCTAATGACTTTCATTTAGCTTTTTTCTTTCTTTTTCTTATTGAGTAAAGGAGAGTGAAATCGGACTCCAGATTAATGTGTACGTGAGTAGAGAGAGTAGAATTCCTTTACCATATACACATGAAAACTTTGCCCAAAAACTAAATTAGTAGTGTGAACCAGTGAGTGGATGATCATAGACAGTAGAGATAAATATGTATTTCCGAATACAAACAAAATCATCATGCAGTCTGCCACGTCTGACTTGCACTTAGCCATATGTAGCAGTTTCATTATCTTCTAGAATATATTACAAATTAATCATTCGTTTGATCTTTATCTCCTAATGATCTGTTTATTCTGTTGGCTAGTGATGGATTGCTAATATATTAATCATTAGTCAATAAATTTGGCAGACTGGCCGGCGACATTCTTCTAATTAATCAGTACATAAATAGTAAGTTGGCTCGCTCGCTCTCTTACTCTCCCAATCCCATGGTTAATACACGATCGAATTATTCGCCTCAAAAACCAATCACTTGACTTGTTTGGTGGAATGAACCTTATTTTACATCTAAGCAAATTGCTTATAATCTAAAGTAGGTTGGAGAAGACACTTAGAGCAACAATAAGTTCTATACAAAACACATCAACTCAAACCCGCTGATGGTGTAGAAGCCAGACTTGTGGCCAAGAGGAGGCTAAAATGCCTCTGTGAGTCTTTCCAGCCCCAAGAAGAGGTGGATAATCGTGGCTTGCCATCAGTTGTCCCCCTTTAAAAAAAAATAAAAATAATAAAATTCAATTGAAGTAGAAACTATTTGTCTATTCAATTACCATGCTCTAACAATCTCTAATTTATGTATGGGTAAATTATACTTTACCACCTCAGGTTTGGGGTCAATATCAATTCCTTACAACATCTTTAAAACATTTCACTTTCATAGCTCAAGTACTATTTTATTTCAATATAACACATCCGTTACATTTTCTATCAATTGATCCGTTAAAAGCTGACGTGACTGCCACATTTGTGCCACGTAGTTGCCAAATTGATGCCACGTGGCAAAAAAATAATTTTTTTATTACCCAATTGGGAAAAAAAAAAAAAAAAAAAAAACTTGAAAACCCAGAACCCCACCCCTCTTCTCCCTACCTAGCATCCCTCTTACCCTGCAACCCAATCCCACAAATCCCACCGACCCTCATATCCTCTCTCCAAAAATCATTCCCTTCACTGTCTTCATCCCCATCTCGAATCCCAACACCACCGAACTGCTCACCTCCCACTTCACATGCCCTTCCTCATCCACCCTCTTCATAGCCTCCTCTATCCACCTGTCACCGACACCCCCGCCCCTGCAAGTTCCAATCTTTAAGGTCCTAAGCCGCTATTCCAGCATCCGGTTCGACCAATCAAGCTGTTCGAACCGCTGATCCACTCCTACTTCATCTGCTGCTTTTTCAGCGGTGCTTAGAGAGAGGGTCGACATGGTGGAGTTGTCAATAGAGCAGACAATGATGGTGGTGCGGTCATTGATGTCAGCGACAAGGTGGGTCAGGGTGAGGTAGTGGTTAAAGGTCAAGAACTCAGGGTGCTTCGCGATAAGGCGTGTGATGTTGTGTGCTTTGGTGAGGATGGTGAGGAATGTGAGCGTGAGGAGAAAGGCACCGACGGTGGTGGCCCGACGGAGCTGCATTGTGTGGGTTTTGGATTTGGGGGTTCGGGGTTCGAGAGAGAGAGTGAGGAGAGTGGAGGAGGGTCGAGGGAATGGGTTTATGGGTTTCAAATTTTATTTTAGTTTTTTAAATGGGTTTTTGGATTTGGATTTGCTAGGTTTTGTTTCAAGCCATGGCAAGTGGAATTGTAGGGATTTGCAATGTTTGGTCCATGGCGAGGAAGGGATGAAGGGTGCAGGCATGGAGGAAGGGGTGTCACATCCTGGCCTGAGCCCCCACCACATCCCAGGCTCAACTTCATCGTAGCACGATATTATCTGTTTTGGGCCCTGACCACGCCCTCACGGTTTTGTTTCTGGGAACTCACATGAGAACTTCCCAGTGGCTCACCCATCATGGGATTGCTCTTGCGCGAACTCACTTAACTTCGGAGTTCTGATGGAACCCGAAGCCAGTTAGCTCCCAAAATGCCTCGTGCTAAGTAGAGATGAGAATATATATATAATGCTTACATGATCCACTCCCCTAGGCGATGTGGGATGTTACAATCCACCCCCCTTAGGGGCCCGACATCCTCGTCAGCACACCTCCGGCCAAGGATTGGCTCTGATACCAAATTGTCACATTCTGACCCGGGCCCTCACCACATCTCAGGCTCGACTCTACCGTAGCACGATATTGTTCGCTTTGGGCCCTGACCACGCCCTCACGGTTTTGTTTCTAAGAACTCACATAAGAACTTTCCAGTGGGTCACCCATCATGGGATTGCTCTTGCGCGAACTCGCTTAACTTTGGAGTTCCGATGGAACCTAAAGCCAGTGAGCTCCCAAAAGGCCTCGTGCTAGGTAGAGATGAGAATATACATATAAGGCTTACAGGATCCACTCTCCTGGGCAATGTGGGATGTTACAAGAGGCATGGAGAGGAAGGGATGAAAGATGCAGGGAGGGAGGGGATGAAGATTATGGGTTTTTGGGTTTTCAAATTTTTTTTTTATTATTATTTTTTTCCAACAAGGTAATAAAAAATTATTTTTTTTGCCACATGGCACAAATGTGGCAGCTATGTCAGCTTTTAACAGATCAATGGATGGAAAATGTAATATATGTATTATATTGAAATAAAATAGTACTTGAGGTATGAAAGTGAAATGTTTTAAAGATATTGTAAGGAATTGAAATCGACCCCAAACCTGAGGTGGTAAAGTATAATTTACCCTTTATTTATTTTTCTTCTAAATTATTGAACTTGACGTGTTTTGTATAGAAAGCTTACTTAATTATATACGAAAAGCCATTGTAATCTAATTTGATTTATTTTAGTTTGATAACGTAAAAGGTGTGAGAGAGCTTATGTTGTTGCTATTGTTCAATTTTTCCAATGTAACATTAAACTTCATAATTAATGTTACACCTTTTGTCTACAAAATGTTCAGATTGTATGTTTTTATTTCTTTCTAGTTGAAAATTTGTGTTTTGCTATCGCGATTGGCCTAGGAGTGTGCCCTATTAATCCGAGAGATAATGAGATGCTTAATTTGATTTTAATATTGGGAAATGATGCATCTCTAAACTCCTTGACTTGTTCTCTCGTCATACAAGCATACTGTACTAAATTCTGATTTATATATATCTATGCATGTTATACGTATCTAGTAGTTTGGTGATGGGCACCCTGTATGAAAAAGTATAAATATCGTACCATTCCATTTTTTATTTTTTTTGGGAAATTAGTCAAACTCCCAGCTACTGGTTTTCTTCTAGTGTGGGATGTATGGGAACAAATAACTATATATGAAATGAAGTCTACAAATTAATTCATGGAAAGCACGTTCAAGAAGTGGCCTACCACATAGAAAAACAAAACAAATAAACAAAACAAGGAATAAATGCCCTTGAAAAAACAAAAGGTTAATTCCACGTCTAGGCCTAATTATTTGTATATTTATACATGCATAGCCAGCCATTTTTCCCACCGGCAAAACCAATATTATCAACAAATGAGCAGGAAATATGCGAGACTGTGTGGTGCCCGGCCGACTGTTTGTCTTCCAATCCATTCACTGTCTCTCTGGTCGAAACGCAAGTCTAGACGGCGTTCCGGTTCCGTCGAAGCTACTACTGATCATAACAGCACAAAGTTCTTGAACAATATTAGCAGCAGGAGGGATGACGACTTGGGTAGTACTGCAGAAGGTGTGAAAAATGGGAACAAGATAATGGTTGTTGTGGATTCAAGCCTTGAAGCTAAGGGAGCTCTCGAATGGGCACTATCCCACACTGTCCAATCCCAGGACACAATTGTTCTTCTTCATGTAGCTAAACCCTCCAAACAACAAGGTCAGAAAACTGAGATTAATCTTTTTTTTTTTTTTTTTTAATTATCTTGTTGCATTGATGTTAATTAACATATAAGCCTAATGTGCTAAACTACTATTGATTAATTTGCAGGTGCAGACTCAAATGGGAGCACTAATTTAAGGGATTTTGAACTGCTTCGCTCGATGAAAAATGTGTGCCAAAGGAAAAGGCCTGGGGTAAGTTTAATTCACAAATTCTGTGTTTTCCCCAATTTTGTTTCTGTATAATAGCAAAACTAGTAATGAATATATTTAGTGATAAAATGTGAGTATCTAACCCTGATCAGTTAACAATGAGAAACTCTACGATCATTTAAACATTTATACAAGGCTTTTATTTTCCCGACGTTGTTGGATTTTACTCTTATGTGCATAACCATTTAATCTAATAGGACCCAATCTCCATTATAAAAGTCTTGAGTTCAAATTTCGCAGCGGAAAATAGTATACTTTTTAACTCATATCAATAATTTTGTCAATGTAGATCAATCATAGAGATGCCAACTATATATATATATATATATATAGGCCTTTTAAGGGAAGGGATCCCCATTTAAAAAAAAAAAAAAATAAGAACACCCTGTTGACCGTTAGATTTAGCTTTAATGAAATTTTGTGGTTGAGATTAAATCACATGCCACAGAATCTCAACCACAAAATTTCATTAAAAGCCAAATCTAACGGTGTTCCCTTTTTTTTTTTTTTTTTTTTTTGAAAAATGAGGATCACTTCCCTTAAAGACGTCCTATGTGTGTGTGTGTATATATATATGTATACAAATAAAGATCTTTGTTAAACAAATGTGAAAGGGTGTACCATTATCTTTGATATTTCGTTTGTATTGACAATTGAAAATTGAAATAGGTGGAAGTGGAGGTAGCAATGCTTGAAGGGAAAGAAAAGGGCCCAATAATAGTGGAAGAAGCAAAGAGACAAAGGGTGTCCCTACTTGTTCTTGGCCAAGAAAGAAAGAGGTCGACTTGGTGGCAGCTAATCAAGAGGTGGACAAGGAGCAGATCATCGGGGGAGGTTTTTGTGGAATACTGCATTCAAAATTCTGCATGTATGACGATTGCTGTGAGGAGAAAGAGCAAGAAATTGGGAGGTTACTTGATCACCACTAAGCTTCACAAGAATTTCTGGCTTCTAGCTTGATTGAAATGCGTGCAAATTACAGTTTGACACAATTTTTTTTTTTTTACTGAAATTCAAGAAAATATTTTTGCATACATGTCAAATTCCGATTGGAAATGATTTCCGTACTCATTTGCTCGCCCATGCACACCCTTGTTTATTTCTGACATTGGATGTAATAAGTTAAACAAGAATCGAGAGACAAAAATAAACAAGGATGTCCAAAAAACAGAAATTTCCAATCCTGGTTCATTTTCAATGAGAAACGACTGTTACATGTAAAAAGCAAAGTAATTTCCAAGTAGCAATGTGGAATCTATGTGTTTGGTATGGTAGTGTGTATAGGGGGCGGTGCCGACAAATATGTAGCACTCCTCTGCTGTCTCCCCATACAAGACATGGTTGTGGTGACTACAAAAATGCTTGTAAAAATTGGATGTCAAGGAAACGTGTTTGAATTTAAGTAGCCTTGATTGGAGACTTTAAAAATCATATAAAATGATCAAAGACAAGAAGTTACAGGGATTTGGTTGAATTTGCATTGTAGTTGTGGACTCAACCCTAAGTGATTGACACCAACTGCATAGCAGCTTCTGAGTTGCATCTCTGAAAGTTCTTGTACCAGACTTTGCAATTTTGAGTCAATCTCCTTCCCTCTTGTAATTCCCAAGCAAAACATCAAAACCAAATCTCATGGCAAATTTGAGATGAAGAGTTTTTCTTCACAAGCAAGTTACTTCAAATACAAAGGCGGAGCGAAATCATATTCTCTGTACATTTTGAATAGCAGAAAAAGAACAATGCCTTGAGAGTTGAACGCAGACGTAAATTGGAAGACAAGAACAGCTTCTCTGTATTCCATCTTCACTCAGCATTACGTCTCGGCAGTGACAATCTAATTCCCATCTGAAAAAGAAACTCCATTGAAATTGAAACAGCATGATTTCCATGCGCAAATGTGGTATGTGTAGGTTAAAAGCGCAATCCTACCACTGGCAATGCAAATAATTGAGTATAATTATTCAACTTCACCTTAGGATTTTCCTCAGGCATTCCAAGAAGCAGCAGTGTCAATTTCATCAACAACCTTCCCCACCTTGTCATGCCCTTTTCCTCTTTGCCTCTTTCTTCTTAAGTCTGTTTACAATCTGTGTAAGAATGAATCAAATGAAGAGGTAACACTTGTATACAAATCTGATGTCGTGACATTTACTTGAAAACTGTTTGTCGTGGATCAAACGAATGACCATGTCTATGCGCCATGTCTGGCCTTTCACTTCAATACTCTTTGATGTAGCTCAAAAGAATAACCTTGTCAATCTATGTGCCACGTCCTGGCCCTTACTTCATAACTTTTTGATGTGGCTCAATAAAATAACCCTTTCTATACGCAACTCTCTGGAGCTGGTCATATCCTGCAAGTACCCCAGCACCGGCAACTCCTAGAAGCATATTTGCAGTTACTCCTCGGAACAGTGCTTTGAAACCCTCAAGGTGAACAATCTCCCGAAATGCATGCAAGGCGTTGCGATACTTTGACGGTTGTCCTGACGTTAGCATCATTCTCCGCCGAATGGTATCAAATGGATAGGCGCAGACCCCGGAGAATGTTGTAACACTCCAGCCAAACAAAAAACTAGCCAAAAAATTCCCCTGTAAAAATTCAAACGATATAAACTTTGAGGCACGGGATCATTTGAGGGTTTTCAAGGAAAGCACATTGGTAGTACGAACCAATGATTTAGACAAATGCGAATACATTCCCTTTTGAATTGTTCAGGTAATATTGAGATGCTCACCCCCAAAGGACCAACCAAAACAATAGGCTTCATGGTGTCATAAATCCCAAACTACATTCCTCGATACATCGTAATTCCAATAATTGAAGCCCCAAAACCTCGATAGAGCCCCACCATTCCATTACTAGATAAGGTTTTACTGTAAACATCTAGAATCCATCTGAACTGGTGTTGACCATTGACTGCAGAACCCCTCCCATCGGTGCCTAGCCGCGTACGGGCATAGTCTAGATGATATAGAAACAATGAAGTACTTGCTCCAGCAGCACTTCCTGAAGCCACATTTCCAGCAAAGCACATTATGCACCCATCTTTCTCTTTTGAGCAGCCAAAGATGCTTTTGAAGTAACCTCTAAATGCAAAGTTGAAGGCCTAATAGCATTCCAAATTATGTTCGGCGAGGACTGTCAAAACATGACATTCATTTGATTTAACATAGCATACCAAAAGTTTCCAGGTCTCAAGAAAAATGTAAAATGTGCAAACTCTCCACAATCTTATGCAATGCCGACTGATGTAATTAAGAAAATAAGTGGTTTTCTATTATAAAGATGATAAGGTATTCGTAGACTTTTTATCCAAAACACAAATAGCTAAGACAAATGCGTAAAGCGTCCTATTTTTTCATACAACACACGAATACAATCCGAAATTCAGCGAGCATTTCTGATAGTCACATCCCCTAAACTGAACTGATTTCTGAATGAACCATTTCGGTGCAAGAATCAGCAATTCGACCAAGGGAAAAACGTCTTGAAAAGTTAAGACACATTCTAAAATTTGCTTGCTTTGATAGAAAACTAAACAAATACAAACTAATACGCAAGCACTCAATAGTTTCACTACACAAATACAAAAACACTATTTAATCACTAAAAATTGATCATTCAATAGTTTCAATGTGGGAGAGTGGCGAAGATGAAGTACCTGAGTAGGAAAATATCGAATGGCATTGGCCTGGTTGCCTCGCCAAAACGACAACACGCCTTCCTCTCTAAACACCCTTGTAAAGCAATCACCAACACCCTTATAAGGTCTCTTAATCTGCCCTCTTTTTATCATCTCTCCCTGATTCTGCAGCAGAAGCTTCACTCTCTCAATGGGTGCTGCTGCACTCTTTGACACCAATGCTGCCATTCCCCCCATCACAAAATCCACAGAAAACTTCTCAGACTTTGTTGCCATTGCCAACCTCCCTCCCTCCCTCCCTCTCTCTCTCTCTCTCTCTCTCTCTCTCTCTCTCTCTCTCTCTCTCTCTCTCTCTCTCTCTAGACCTGAACAGTTCAAGCAAAAGCAGAAATGAACCAACAACCCAATCAAATAGGTGATAAAAATAAATCTTTTAGAAATCAAACCACCACCCCATGAAGGAAAAAAAAAACATATAATGTCATATAAATTTCCAAAAACCAACACATTCCAATCAAGTTTCCCTTTCAGTCAAGAAAAAGCATGAAACTTTCTATCCCAAAAGCTGATGGGAAGAATATAAACCAAAAATTAGAGATGGGTTTTTACATACCTTGAAAATTTATGGAGGGAAATTGAAAGGAGAGAGATGGTGGGCGTGGCGGGATTTCCCTTTTAGGGACGGATAATGGGCTGCTCTCCCACCACCCGATTTACAAAAGTGGCTTTTTTTAGAAGTAAAGTATGGAAATTTGGTGGAATCGCAATTCGCCGTCGATGACTGGGTTAACCGGCTTCTGGCTTGGGAGACGACTTTTGGGTCGTTGGATTATGTGGGAAAAAAACAAAACTGAAAGACGAAAGAACAGAAATAAGTGCGTTTGGTAGCCCTGTTATTTCTTAAAGATTCAAACATAAGAAAAAGGGCAGTTTAGTCAAACACGGCCTTAAGTAAAATTGGCAACATCTTGAAGTGGTACAACCAAGATTGAGCTATCAAGACTAGAATTGATATATGAAGTACTTTTTAGTTTAAATTATCTTTGAGTTGTCATAACTCATTACTTTGGTCTATATTAACATTTTCGTTAAATGAAATGGTTGGTATGCCAAAAACACCATTAAAAAGTAATCACGTAATCGTTTGCTTAACAATTTAACCGCGTCTTCTGTTCTTCACAGGCCAACTCTCTGCAATGGCGGAACCCTCAACCGTACTTGCACTCCTTGTGCAGCTCAGGACATGACGTGCTACGACTGCGAGTAGTGCAGGCCGGACACTAAGAACACACTTCTTCCCTCTGCCTGTTCGTCTCCGGCCAACTCGCTTCAATGGCGGAAACCGCAACCGCACTTACACTCCTTGTGCAGTTCAGGACATATGACGTGCTACGACTGCGAGTAGTGGAGGCCAGACACTAATTAAGAACACACTTCTTCACGCGTTCTGCCTATTTGTGTCCGGCCAACTCGCTTCAATGGCGTAACCCGCAACCCCGGATCCTCAGAGTGTGGAACCTGCATTGTTGAAGGGGATAAACAAACTGTAGCAGAACCCTTTATTACTCAGATTTTTTATTTTTTATGGTGCAGGCAATGAAGAGAAGCACATCGGATCTCCTAAAAGTGAAGAGGTAGTCCAAATCTAGTGCCTTTGCTCGAATCTGCTATCTAGTTAGTTAATAGTTAAATTTAAGGTTTTGCTTGTCGGTAGAGACTCCATAGCTAACACTTGAGGTGCAATAACCGGTTGGTAGAGGCACCCTAGCTACCCGACAATGCCAATTGTGCATGCAAACGCTACTTCAGATTTTGGATAGATGAAAACCATAATTGTAGAAGGGGAGCAGGAAATCGAACCCAAAATTCGAGTGCATGAGTAAATACTCGTGATCATTATATTGGAACACTTCTTGAAAGTTTGAGATACATTGATCATCCACTTTTATGCGTTTTTCCCATCCCATATTAATTTATTGACTCTTCATATATTCAATGTTACATTTCATCCTATTAGTTGATGATTCGTTTGAAAATACTTATTTAGGAAGTATATGTGCTCATAAAACGTTTTTATTAGCCACATGTTGAAGTTTCTATTGATTAAGTTCTTTTTGAAAAAGCACTTAAAAATGATTCCTGACATTCCATTTGATCTCTGATAAACGTTTTCAAGTGCTTTTATAACCCATAAGCACTCACTACAAGAAACGTGAGCAACGGCTATCATAATTAATAATTATTTTGGTAGTTGTTGCTGGGGTAACATTAATGTTGCCAATGAGAAAATTGTGACAAAAAATTCAAATATATATTAACCTATCCTATTAGCTCTTTTGTAACTAGGTCATGGGTTGGAATCATGGAAACAACCTCTTAAAACATGCATAAAGTTGCATACGATCATGGGCTGATGAAAATAGGGACCAAGATAGTACCAAGACCACCCAAGTCTAGAAAATATACATATGAAGGTCTTCCAAGGAACTTCCGAATGTTTTTTTTTTTTTTTTTTTTTTTTTTTTTTTAGAAAAAGGGGGACAACTGGTGGCAAGCCACATTTATTCACCCTTTCCAGGGGCCAAGAAGACTTATAGAAGCATTTCAGCCTCCCCCTGGCCACAAGTCTAGCTTCCACACAAACAACAGGTTTCGAACTCAAGACCTTCAATTTTTAATTTGAATGAAGCTCGTAATTCATTTTTTACTACAAGGCCACCAGCTCATGGGTAGCTTCTGAATGTTGGTATGAGTCTTTTTGTGCCTACTAAATGTTTGATGTGATGCATGCTAGGCATATCTTGACAAATGCATCAACATCACTCGCACAATTCTCTCTCTATCACTCATCAGATTGTTTCGGCATATGCTGATATATGTTGATATGTGTGCAACAAACTCACCAAATGTTCAACAAAATGTCTTAGTGAATAAATTGATATTTGTGTTGTTCATGCTCTGTTTCTATCTAAAAAACTTGTATTTAACACTAGAACACATTAAGGTTGAAATCCTAGATCCGCCACTATATACAGTAAATGTTCCTTTCCGGACCATCACAAAATGAAAAGCCTTATTGGTTTGAGAATGAATTAGTCACCATTGTGTTTTCTCAATTTCAACGTCATCATCACCTGGCAACAATTACCAAAATAATGACTAATTAGGTTAGTTTTGCTACTTTTCTTATAGTGACTTCTAAATCAGTAAACTTTGATCTTAAATATTATGAAAGCATTTACCATCCAAAAAGATTGTCTAAACAGTGCTTAAATCATTGTAAAAACACTTTTAAAGAAACCCGTAACATATTTGTATCAACCTATTAGTTTCTTAACAATGTGAACTATCAATGTGAATAAAAAGTTCGAACTTGTAACTTTTTTCTGTATTACAAGGACAAAGAGCAATACCACCGCACTCTAACTCGGCCTATAAAGGGTCATTGCAAGCTAAATCTAAAAATATTACAATAAAGCATAATTAATTACAAAGCAATAAGTAAACTTAAAGCATTCGTTAGAATTCATCAAGAAACACAAAATTACACAGAGATCATATGAGAACAAATTCTCAAATCATATATTGAGACAGAGAGTATGATACCCTTAAGTTGATCGTATCACTTAATCACGGTTAGAATCTCAGAATATCGAAGGAAGTAGATTTAACAAATTAAACCGCTATCAAATCATATATATTGTTCATTAATACATAACCATTAGTACATACATGTATAAAAAAAAAAAAAAAAAAACCAGAAATTGGTCGATTTGCATAATTGCATGGCAAAATTTATGGTAATTAATATCAGCAAAAATGGAAATTAATATGATAGCAAGTTAGCAACCTTCTTATTTGGAAATTTATAGGAAAAAAATCACACGGTCTGATGCGACGGACTTTGTGACTGTTTTATTTTCCCTCCCCAAAAACTTAACACACACCATCTGCAATCTCTTCTCTGGTTAATATCTTCCGCATTTGCCGAAGCCCCCACACACACAGTGCCGACGACAGATCGCAAACTCGATCACTGTTTGCTCCCTCACCCAAGAGCTAAACACTCTGATTGTTCTTGCCCATCTCTTCAATTTTTCGATTCATTCGAAGCTGCCCGCCAGAGAGTGGGAGGAAAATACTGATTCGAAGGTGTGATTTCTGCGTAAAGGTTGCGTTTTGATCGATTTTTTGGGTTGAAGACGGCGTTTGGCGGATGCCCAAGTGAGCAAAAACGGAGCTGATATGATTGGAGGGCGGTTTGCAGTGGTACGTTGATCGAATCTGGGACATGTGTCGGTGCGGATTCGTGATTTGGTGGTGAATTGTGGAGGAAATTAGTCAAAGATGCGGAGGCGGGCGGCCGAGTATCGGCGCCCGGTTCGACGGAGGTTTTCGAATTGGATCTGGGCGCTTTTTGGGCTCTTCTCCGTTGCAGGCCTGGTTTTGTTAGTTGTGAACCATAACCAGCATGAAGATCGGGTCGAACAACCCGTGCTGGTATGATTGCTCAGCTCTCCCATTGCTCCTTCTGCGTGTGTGTCTTTGATCTTGATTAGATAAACTGCGTGTTTAAGTAACATTTTAATTTGGTGTTGGTGGATGGAAATTTGGTATGCTTGAACTCTGTTGTTTAAATCTATTTGAGGTTGTTTGATGGCGAAATTTCGGATGAAGTATCGAAATGCAAAAATTGGGTTTTTTTTCTTGTTTGGTTAGACATTCTGTTGGTTGGAATGTTGATTTTTCTTTTTATATGCAGTCAGGGTGTATATAATCCTTTTGTGAGTGGATCTCTAGTTGGTGGCATTTAGGAAAGAACTTAACAGTTTTCCTATGACGGTAGCAATTCCGGCTGAATCAATTGTGGCTTTGTTATGATATGATCATTTGATGTCTGGCTGGTACCGTTAATATTGTGTTTCTGATTTCAAGTCTGGATTATATTTATAGTTAGCAGTTCCGTTCTCAAGCTAGAGATTATATACGGATTACAGACAACGAACGTCCATGCTAGGATTTCAATAGAGTTTCCATTCTCACTAGTTCAATGTGCAGAACTGTATTTTTACTTGCTCATAGTTGGGGTTAATTTACCGTTCCTGTTATTGGGTGGTAGATTAGCTAAGTGGTTGTGGTTTCTACGAGGAGTAAAACAGGCTGCCAGTTGCTTGGCGCCGATTGCTAGACGGAAGTTGTGTGCCGGGGCATGGATTGATAGACCCCCAACTTCCCTTGTTCATATCTTACCACGGGATGGCCTTTCATGCCCCAAACAGTGTGATTTTGATCATTGGGGAATTTTTGTACTGGTTCTTCCTTCTCTTTTTTCTGTTTTTTCCTTTTGCATCTCTTGACTGTTCATCTATGATCTGCCCTTGCTTTCATTTTAGAGTTTGGCCTGTGTGCCTTTTCTGGTTGTTAGTTTGGGCTGAGGCCTTAATACATTACACAATTTAAATGTTACGATGGGGTGGATAAAGTAGATTGGTAAGCAGTAAGCACACACTTTGTTCACACTAACCCAGATGTATATTGTCGTTATTTGGCTTGGGATTATTTGATAAACATCTTTTTTTTCGTTTTTATTTTGTCAACTGAATTGTTATTTGTATGCTTGTACTTATCGTTGCTTTTGTAGGACCTTGTGAATCCAATTGGAAAAGTCTCCCATGTGCTACTTCACTTAGAGATCGAACTGTTTCCCACATTTAAGTTCCTGCCAAATTATATCCTTCGGAGGATAGAACTTCTAATTGACCATTTGACATTGGTTTTATCTATTTGTACAATTGTAATGTGCAACACAGAGAGCACAATAAAAAGTGAATGTCACTGGATTTTCACGGTTCCACAATACTGTTGTCAACAATCACACATGGTTCTGTGTCCTGTACTTGGAGATCCTTTTGACCAGGCCATAGATGAGCTTATTGGAATTGTGCAATGTGTTGCTCTTAAACACCTTAGGCGAATTGTTCTTGGACTTTTTTGTCTGAAATCTATGTGTTGGTAATTTTTTCATGAGTTCTCAAATGATCAGTTTTACTATATGGGGTTTTTTATTTCCTCTCTAAACGCATGATTTATCTAGAGCCAAATTTGTGGAAATACACTTATATGCATCAAAATGCATTATCCTATTGTTATATTTAAAGCATACACGAAATTTTTGTCCCTTATTTATGAAGTTCCGCACTTCATAATTCATTTACTTTCAGTTCCCCTTCTAACGAACGTATTGACTGCTTCCAATGCATTTGGAATTTTCGTAAGACAACGGTCTGATATTCCTAATTCATTATGTGTTTGTGTTCTAATTAATGCAAGTCCTAAATCATAAAAATGCTGTACAATTAGCTCTCAATTACTCTGATGTGTTTGAGCCTGTGGTGAGGCATGAGAATCAGAACCATTCCATGCTATTCTCCCCTTCGTGATAACAAAATTTAGTTGGTCATTAAACAATACTTCATTCCCTCCATCTTTTTTCATGTCTTCTTAAATTTGAGAAAGTTCTAGTCATAAGCTAGCTTGAATTAACAATATAACACTGTGGGTTATATGCAGCTGAACCTTGACCCTGTACTCATAGAAGTAATTTGACAGATAATGTCAAAATTTGGATGGTCTCAAGAGGAAAATGTCTGAATTTGTGTGTTTTTGATAACAGATGATGAATAATCTGTTCATCATTTTTCACATTGAGCCAGCTATTATGGTTAGCAATATTTTCATGCTTTATAGGTCATATTTATGTACAATGATGTTTAGGTTTGAAGGTTCTTGTTATCCTGGTTAGAAAAGTAGACGTTTTTGCTTTAGGTGTGGAAATCGGAAATGAGATTCTGAATTTTATTATCCTGGTTGGCAAAGTAGACGTTTTTTGCTTTTCTCACATCTCCCTTTTCTTAGTATGTAATTGTATCTATAAAAAGTGTATTTCCTCTTAGGTCGATGTGAATTGACTTTTGTTACTTTGTGATGTGGCTTGTCATTTTGTTTAGTGCCTTACTTGAATGTGACTGCCCTTCTGCAGGAGAGAAATACGAGACTTGAGCAGGTTGCTCATGAGAGTTTAAATTTTACTGAAGAAATATTGAGTGCTAGATCGTTTTCCAGGCAGCTAGCTGAACAAATGACGCTTGCCAAAGCTTATGTTATTATTGCCAAAGAGCACAATAACCTTCATCTTGCTTGGGAGCTTAGTTCAAAGATCCGAAGTTGCCAGCTTTTGCTGTCAACAGCTGCCATGAGGGGAGAGCCTGTGACACTAGAGGAAGCAGAGCCAATAATTAAAAGCCTATCATACCTTATATTCAGAGCCGAAGATGCACATTATGACATTGCAACCACAATAATGACAATGAAATCCCATATCCAAGCCCTTGAAGAGCGTGCAAATGCCGCAACAGTTCAAAGCACGGTATTCGGGCAACTAGCTGCTGAAGCATTACCCAAAAGCCTCCATTGCCTAAATGTTAAGCTCACAGCTGATTGGCTTAAAAAGCCATATCTGCAACGACTTGCAGATGAAAAGAGGAATTCTCCCAGACTCGTGGACAACAATACCTACCATTTCTGCTTATTTTCAGACAATGTGGTTGCCACCTCTGTGGTTGTCAACTCCACTGTCTCCAATGCTGACCATCCAAAACAGCTGGTCTTCCACATTGTCACAAATGGGATCAACTATGGGACAATGCAGGCGTGGTTCCAAAGTAATGATTTCAAAGGGTCCACAATAGAAGTGCAGAATATTGAGGAATTTTCTTGGTTTAATGCTTCTTATTCACCTATCATGAAACAGCTCCTTGATGCAGATTCGCGAGACTTTTATTTTGGTGGATATCAAGATATGGATGTTGTGCCAAAGCTGCGGAGCCCTAAGTATCTATCTTTGCTCAATCACCTTCGATTCTACATTCCAGAGATCTATCCGCAGCTGGAGAAGGTAGTTTTTCTTGATGACGACGTTGTTGTCCAGAAGGATCTGACCCCACTTTTCTCATTGGAGTTGCATGGAAATGTGAATGGAGCAGTGGAAACTTGTCTTGAAGCATTTCATCGTTATTACAAGTATCTGAATTTCTCAAACCCAATCATCAGCGCCAAGTTTGATCCACAGGCATGTGGGTGGGCCTTCGGTATGAATGTCTTTGATTTAATTGCTTGGAAGAAAGCAAATGTAACTGCACGGTATCATTACTGGCAGGAGCAGAATGCCAATGGGACACTTTGGAGGCTAGGCACTCTTCCGCCTGGCCTTCTAACATTTTACGGTCTGACAGAGCCGCTTGATAGGAGATGGCATGTATTAGGACTGGGGTATGATCTGAACATTGACAACCGATTGATTGAGAGTGCGGCGGTGGTTCACTTTAACGGGTTCATGAAGCCGTGGCTGAAGTTGGCCATTGGCAGGTATAAGCCTCTCTGGGAGCGGTATGTAAATCAAAGCCACCCGTACCTCCAAGATTGTGTCACAAGCTAGAATGTGCTGCTTCTTGATTGCTCGTAATTCATGCGATCTCCGAGACTTTTAAACTCTCAATGCCGGAAAATATGGTTCCCGTTATTGTAGTCAGGAGTACAAAATTTTGAAGTAAAGTTTACCAGACAGTTATCATTTTTTTTTCTTTTCTGCATCATAGTTCCCTGAAAGGAAAAGAGCATTGTTTCTTATACATTTAGAAAGTTTACATGTACCAGGTGAAGAGTTGTGAGAGCTAAATTGACTTTTGCGCCTGAGATGGGGTTTTCTTTTTCCCCCTCTCTGCAAGCTGTAGAATTATTTGTTCCTTAGCAGGTGTTTGTAATAAATTTTCAGCCTCATTTGAGTTATATTATGCAACTGAACCAATTTTTTAGCAGTTTGTTTATTGACATAAACTGCAACATCTGGTTGTCTTTGTGGAGTTTTTATTTTTTATAAATATTTTCTTCTACAATGACTTGAGAAAGGAAGAAATGAATTCTGTTAAATATTGTTAATTAACTAATCATTTGCCGCCGCACGTAAGTTGAAGGTCTTAGGTTTGATGAGTTTGATTCTAATTAATTATAGTTTGCTCATCATCTGGCTTATTCCAAATCTCTCATAATTTCCAGCCTATAGAATGGGAGATTTGAACAAATTGAGAGTTGGGACCAAGTAACATATTCCTAATGAATTCTATTTATTTGGTACGTATAGATGACTAAACGATCTTCCGTTCAAATAACTAGTTGTAGAGATAATCTTTGAATGATGATTAAGAAGAGGAACAGTTTCGCATGATAAAAATATTTATTCAAAAATGGCGGATAAGGCAGTGCAGCCTATGGGGTGATTGCAAGTATATTTAATTTCAGCCATTAAAATGGTATCTCTCAATCCAATAAGGAAGTATATATAGTGCCATGGATATTCCTTCACCATATAAAAGGCTTCCAAAACCTGTAAACTTTATGTGCTGCATGCTGATGTACATTTGCCGCAACCGGAAAGATGTTCTTATTTCCAAATGGAGGTACATGAACAGATTGAGGCTTAAGGAACTTGGACCCCTCTCGCTAGAAGAAGCGTTTGAGCTTTTCTGTCGAGGAGTTTCCGACGTTGGACCCTTTTGGGATCATGTGTTAGGCTACTGGAAAGCAAGATAGGAATTTCCCGACAAAATATTGTTCTTGAAATATGAGGAAACGATAAAGGATCCCATTGTTTTCATGTGACGAGATTGGCTGAGTTCCTCGGCCAACCTTACGCGGCGGAGGAAGAGAGCAAAGGGGTGGTGCACCAAATTGTAAAGCTTTGTAGTTTTGAAAATTTGAGCAGTTGGGAAGTTAATAAAACCAGCAGGCCTAAGCAACAGCTTCCTCAGCATGTTTTTTTTTTAGTACAATGATATATTTTATAATAAGGAAAGGAAAATTATGGTGAGTATGAAATGTATATTCTATTATATGTCTAACGATTTACAAGAGAGTGCTCTTTATATGAGCCAATGAACAGACAACAATCATTCATGGCTAATGGAAACAATCATGAAAAGCTAATGGACAGCTAGTGGACTAGACACAATCATGAATGGCTAATGGAAGCAATCATGAAAGGCTAATGGACAGTGGACTAGACGGCTAGTGGACAAGCAATCCATGTGTTGAGAAGAAGATTCCATTTTACGCCCCCGCAAGACAGTGGTCCCGTCAGAGATTGTGTCTAGTCCACTAGCTGTCCATTAGCTTTTCATGATTGCTTCCATTAGCCATTCATGATTGTGTCTAGTCCACTAGCTGTCCATTAGCCTTTCATGATTGTTTCCATTAGCCATGAATGATTGTTGTCTGTTCATTGGCTCCTATAAAGAGCACTCTCTTGTAAATCATTAGATATATAATAGAATATACATTTCATACTCACCATAATTTGGTATCAAGAGCAACAAAGCTCCATTGAGCATTTTTTTTTCCCCATCCTCATGGCTGAATCCACCAACTCACCCCCCTTGCCCACCCCTGTCACCATTAACGCTGCTGCTCAGTTACCTCTAAAACTCACACCCACCAACTTTCCTTCCTGGCGAGCTCAATTCAATGCCCTGCTTCTTGGATATGACTTGATGGGTTACATTGATGGATCAAAACCATGTCATGCTACCTCCTCTGTTGTGTCCTACACCTTCTGGATTCATCAAGATCAGCTGCTACTACATGCTATCTTAGCTTTTGTCTCTGAACAGATTATATCTCTCATTTCCTCCTCTAAAACCTCCAAGGAGGCTTGGGACAAGCTCACCAAGCTCTACGCCAACAAAACACGCTCTCGGGTTCTCAACCTCAAAGAGCATCTTACGCTTATGCGTCGTGATACACAACTTGTGTTAGTTTTTCTACAAGCTATCAAAGCTATCATTAATGAGCTTGCCATCATTAATTCTCCACTCTCCGACAATGATGTTGTTCTACACGTCATTAATGGTGTTGGACCTGCCTTCAAAGAAATCGTTGTCGTTGTTTGGGCTAGCGATACCTCCATCTTCTTTGAGAATCTGTATGACAAACTCATTGAACATGAAACTTTCCTCCAACGGGATGCACCACCAGCTGATGTTACTCCTATGACTGCCCTTGTTGCTCAAGCTCCCCGATCCTCCCAGCGTGACTTCAGGTCAGTACAAGCCTCCCAACAACGTCCTGGCGTGGATTTCTTAGACACCTTCAGTCCAGTTGTCAAACCCACCACCATCCGTATTGTTCTTCATTTGGCTCTCACTCATGGTTGGCCTCTTCGTCAATTAGACGTGAACAATGCTTTTTTGCATGGATCACTCTCTGAGGATGTTTACATGGTGCAACCCCCCGGGTTCGATGAATCTACTGTTCCAACACATGTCTGCAAACTCCGCAAAGCTTTATATGGCCTCAAGCAGGCACCCCGATCATGGTACAAGGAGTTGAGCGTTTTTTTGCTCAATCAAGGATTTGTCAATGCCATCTTACATACCTCTCTCTTTATTTTTCGTCAGATAATGATGTGATCTTTTTTCTAGTTTATGTTGATGATCTTGTTTTTACAGGAAATAATACCAGGTTCCTCTCTACGTTCATTCAAGCCTTGGCAAATCGTTTTTCTATCAAAGATTTGGGGAACCTTCATTATTTCCTTAGGGTTGAAGTGATACCCACCACCACGGGTTTGTTTATTTCTCAACATAAATATATCCATGATCTTCTAGCTAAAGCTAAAATGGATGGTGCTAAGGATGTGACCACACCAATGGCTACCTCTACTCCTTTGATTCTCTCTGATGGCTCTCCTCTCACTGATGCTACTACCTTTCGACAACTTGTTGGAAGTCTCCAATACCTCAGTCTCGCCCGCCCTGACATCTTATTTACCGTCAACAAACTCTCACAGTTCATGCATTGACCAACTGAGTCTCATTGGCAGGCTTTGAAACATCTTCTCCGCTATTTGAAAAGCACTATTTTTCATGGCATTCTCTTCCGCCGCAGTGCCTCATCTCGTCTATATGCCTTCTCAGACGCTGATTGGGTTGGTGATCGTGATGACCGTAAGTCTACCACGGGTTATGTCATTTATTTGGGTGGCAACTTAATCTCTTGGAGCTCTCACAAACAACGTTCTGTCGCTCGATCGTCCATGCAAGCAGAATACCGCGTCATAGCCTCTACTACTGCTGAACTAGCTTGGCTTCAATCCCTTCTCCATAAGCTTGGTGTCTCCTCAATGGATAAGCCAACCATTTCCTGCGACAATATTAGGGCAACTTTTTATAGTGTCAATTCTGTTCTTCACTCTGGCATGAAGCAGATTGAACTTGATTTTCAGTTTGTTCGTGATCGAGTCAATCGCGGGCTTCTTCAAGTGCCACATGTTTCTACTCAGGATCAGCTTGTAGACGTCCTCACAAAAGCCCTTCCTCGTCCACACATCTGATTGTTACGATCCAAGATCGGTGTCTCTGACGGGACTACCGTCTTGCAGGAGTGTAAAAGGGAATCTTCTTCTCAACACATGGATTGCTTGTCCACTAGCTGTCTAGTCCACTAGCTATCCATTAGCCTTTCATGATTGCTTCCATTAGCCATTCATGATTGTGTCTAGTCCACTAGCTGTCCATTAGCATTTCATGATTGTTTCCATTAGCCATGAATGATTGTTGTCTGTTCATTGGCTTCTATAAAGAGCACTTTCTTGTAAATCATTAGATATATAATAGAATATACATTTCATACTCACCACCGATCTTGGATCATAACAACTGGAAGCGTGTACGAGGAAGGGATTTTGTGAGGACGTCTGCAAGCTGATCCTGAGTAGAAACATGTGACACTTGAAGAAGCCCGCGATTGACTCAATCACGAACAAACTGAAAATCAAGTTCAATGTGCTTCATGCGAGAGTGAAGAACAGGATTGACACTATAAAAAATTGCCCCAATATTGTCGTAAGAAATGGTTGGCTTATCCATTGAGGAGACATCAAGCTCATGGAGAAGGGATTGAAGCCAAACTAGTTTAGCAGTAGTAGAGGCTATGGCGTGGTATTCTGCTTGCGTGGACAATCGAGCGATAGAACGTTGTTTGCGAGAGCTTCAAGAGATTAAGTTGCCACCCAAATAAATGACATAACCCGTGGTAGACTTACGGTCATCACAATCACCAACCCAGTCAGCGTCTGAGAACGCATATAGACAAGATGAGGCACTACGGCGGAAGAGAATGCCATGAAAAATAGTGCCTTTCAGATAGTGGATGAGACATTTCAAGGCCTGCCAATGAGACTCAGTTGGTCGATGCATGAACTGTGAGAGTTTGTTGACGGTAAATGAGATGTCAGGGCGGGTGAGACTGAGGTATTAGAGACCTCCAACAAGTTGTCAAAAGGTAATAGCATCAGTGAGAAAAGAGCCATCAGAGAGAATCAAATGAGTAGAGGTAGCCATTGGTGTGGTCACATCCTTAGCACCATCCATTTTAGCTTTAGCTAGAAGATCATGGATATATTTATGTTGAGAAAGAAACAAACCCGTGGTGATGGGTATCACTTCAACCCCAAGGAAATAATGAAGGTTCCCCAAATCTTTGACAGAAAAACAATTTGCCAAGGCTTGAGTGAACGTAGAGAGGAGCATGGTATTATTTCCTATAAGAACAAGATCATCAACATAAACTAGAAAAAAGATCACATCATTATCCTGACGAAAAATAAAGAGAGAGGTATGTGAGATGGCATTGACAAATCCTTGATTGAGCAAAAAAATGCTCAACTCCTTGTACCATGATCGGGGTGCCTGCTTGAGGCCATATAAAGCTTTGCGAAGTTTGCAGACATGTGTTGGAGCAGTAGATTCACCGAACCCAGGGG